TAACTGATTGTGTATATTGGTTCCTGACTTCCCTGAAAAGTTGCATATCGCGGGGGCTGTTCGATGCTAATGCAGTACGCCACAGGATGTTTTTGTGCTGGTCAAGGGCAGTCAAGTCTGGGGTGAACCAGGGGCTATATCATTTTTTGAATGGGGCATGCTTATTTAAGATGGAGAGGAAAGCACTTTTAAAGAACAACCAGGCATCCTCTACTGACGGAATGAGGTCAATATCCATCCAGGATACCCAGGCCAGGTCAATTAGAAAGGCCTGCTCGCTGAAGTGTTTTAGGGAACGTTTGACAGTGATGAGGGGTGGTCGTTTGACCGCGGACCCATTACGGACGCAGGCAATGAGACAGTGATCGCTGAGATCCTGGTTGAAGACAGCGGAGGTGTATTTAGAGGGTAAATTAGTCAGGATGATATCTATGAGGGTGCCCATGTTAACGGATTTAGGGTTGTACCTGGTATGTTCCTTGATAACTTGTGTGAGATTGAGGGCATCTAGTTTAGATTGTAGGATGGCCGGGGTGTTAAGCATTTCCCAGTTTAGGTCACCAAGCAATACGAACTCTGAGGATAGATGGGGGGCAATCAATTCACATATGGTGTTCAGGGCACAGCTGGGGGCTGAGGAGGGTCTGTAGCAAGCAGCAACAGTGAGAGACTTATTTCTGGAAAGGTGGATTTTTAGAAGTAGAAGCTCAAACTGTTTGGGCACAGACCTGGATAGTATGATAGAGCTCTGCAGGCTCTCTCTACAGTAGATTGTAACTCCGCCCCCTTTGGCAGTTCTATCTAGACAGAAAATGTTGTAGTTGAGAATGGAAATTTCAGAATCTTTGGTGGCCGTTCTTAGTCTAATACATCCACAATGCGATTTCAACTGATTTGTCCTTTTTTGTCAAATAATTGTATTTTGTTGAATGTATATAACATTCCAAACTTGATAAGCATTATCTAGTGCAAATATGGCATGATTCCACTTATGTGTCCATTTCAATGCGGCACCTTTATTTTGAAGGAGAACCGCAAATTCCACTATTGTGGCTAATCTTTGTGGTTAGCTTCACAAACAGTGCTGGCCGCTACTTAAAACAACACATCTCTAGATGACCTGCTTTTCCATGTGGAGGCATGCATCAAAAACTTGGGTCAGCTAGTTGCTACAAGGGACACATAGGAGAACGAATATATTTGCTAGCTATTATACTGATTGATAAAATTGCCATTAACTAGCCAGCTATCTTGAAACTAGTGGAGGCAAGATAGCTAACGTTATCTTACCACCACCAACAGAGTTCACCTTAGCTAGCTAAGTGGACTCTAGTTAAGTTTCTAGAAAATAACTATATAACTATATAATTGGTAGCTAGTTACTGACAATTTGAATCGTTTTTGTCAAACTACTTTGTTCCCCTGCCGGTTTATTTATGTTTTTGTGACTGAAAGTTGGCAAGAAAATTCCCCTAATTTGACTGCAAATAGGATGTTTTCATATAATTTGGCTGATTAGGGGGCTTGAGCACATTTACATTAGTGTTTCATTAGCTAGTTAACTAAGTTACTGACTAACCTAATTCTTACTCATGTTTTTGTTGCATTTCAGGTGGAGTGGCATCGCTGACAGGCCAGCATGCTGATAGGCCAGGGCCCATATTCACAAAATCTCAAAATAGTACTGATATTAGGCTACATTTTGCCTTCACCGAGATGCTTTGTGAAAATGGTCCCTGGAAGAAAGCTGTTGCACAGCAGTCCTTTCACCACGGGTCCCTAGAGCAGGGGTAGGCAACCCTGTTCCCAAAACATTATTGTATGGTCTTGAACAGACATCCACTTGCTCTGTACAGTTGGTGTGGCTTGAAGCAATGAGTGAAGTATTTAAAGGACAGCGGTGCCTTTTGAACCCACAACCCAATCCCTCCCCGTTTTTCAACTAGTATTTCAGTACAGCACCGTTTCCGTTCAATTTAACGTTCTATTACGTTTTTATGTACTGAATGCAGCACTGACCAACTGAACTAATTGATCAGTTGAGTGATTGCCTAAAAGCAACACACCTAGTCTTCCAGGTCTGTTAAATCAAAAACATGAAGTGCCTGCGCCACTCCAGGACCAGGGTTGGCTACCCCTGCCCTAGAGGTATTAGTCAATGCTTATAAACTGAATATTGTATGTGAATTTCAATATATCAATGACACTAACAAAAGGGTTGAATTGTTCAGCAACGTGCAGTAAATGCTAACACATCTTTGGTGATGAATGGTACATAATACATTTGTCATCTCCCTATCAGGCAACTGCATGCTCTTACATGGGCCTGGATGGTGACACATCTTCAAGCTGCCTGCCTGAAGACTGTGGCTTTCAGTGGTACCGGAAGCAAGGGCCTTACCTGGGAGTACAGCAACACTCTCTCGCAGCCTTTCTGTAAACATGTATTGTATGTAACCACTCAAGTTCATACAAACTGCTACAAACTGCTACTGCAATCACTGACTTATATTCACTTTGTATACTTGTCCCATTCTTCAATCTTGTCTGGGATATATATTTTAGTTAACACCTGTGTGATATACATTAATAAAAATGTATTCACCCTGGACATGAGGCGTGCATTTACTTTAGAATCATAAGCTCCAAGTGTTGAGATTAAGTTACCACAGAAGTCAGTAAAAGTTAGTGTCAAACATGCAATGAAAAATATGTTTTGTAATCTAATAAAATGAGTTTATACAAAACTATATTGCATTTGGTAATCCCCAAAATGTGGCCTTTAAGCCTTGATAGTTGCATCCTTCCTCTGGAAACTGTCTGCATATTGCTGACAACAGGGTGGCAGGTTTTTTGATGTGCTGCTCTAGAGTTCCATAGCCCAGCAGACTCATCTGGGGATAGGGGTATGGACATATTCGTTTTGATAAAAGTGGGAGACTTTTACAGGGAGGAGAGAGCATGACTTTTGGCGTGAGTACAGTAAATCCAATCCAACCAGTGGCTCTGGATAATATACTATGTCATGACACAGGCAGACTGCCACAGTGAAGGAGGGTTACATTGTGCATCAGGTATACTATTATGAGTGTAGCTTACTTCTCTGTCCTCTGGAGAGAACTACCTGCAGGTAGTTGGTCAGAAAGCTCTGGAGGTCATTGGACCATTCCGTCTCTGTAGCACCTGGAGAGAGATGGATAGAGGTAGTGAGTGCTAGAAAGAGAGCGTGCCCTCACCCCTGACTGGCCCAGGACCTCCTGCCTAGTATCATGCAATGTAAAGGAAAACAATAATATCATGACTTACTGACAGAGTGCTCCATGTTCCTGCTGGTAGCAAGCCTCAACTTGGATACAGAGAAATGTCCTGCCTTGTAGTATGGTTGCATCCATCCCCACCAGGCTCCAAGAAAACAGATGACAAACCTGCAGAGATTAACAAGAAAATGGCACATGTATTTAGGAATATTGTATCAGTATGCCTATTTCACATTCATTTCTGTAAATGACAATATATCTGATTAAAAGTATGCATGCCATTGTGTGATAACAGCTATGACAAATGGCACATGGCATACATGTGCATTTATAACTAGCTAAGGTATTATTTATTTTTATGGCACCACGTCTCATCTCACTAATAATTGCTAAGGCCAACAGTAAATTCCACTATTGTGGCTAATCGTTATTGTGACTAGCTTCACATAGGTGACTTATTCCATCATGACAACATGCTCCTCCTTACTTAACTGCAGTTTAGTTCAAAATGTAGCTAACTAGCGAAGTGTAAAACTGAGTCTGGCTGTAAAACACAGCTAGCTAGCCAACTCGACTTTATCAGTTGTAGCCAAGCTAGCTAGACACTCAGTAACCTTAGTTGACCATGCTTTTCTGGACAACTGGACATTCCTCTCGCCCATCCCGGTCGAATTATTCTTGCCTACTCTCGTCTCTTGGTCTTCTTCTAGGTTGAAAGCTATTTGGCTGTAGTCCAGTGCCTTATTGTCAAAAGCAACCCACTCGTAACACAGCCACCTGGTACAGTCAATGGCTCAGTGTTCCAAAACTGTTCACCTGTTTCTATGTCAAGCTAGGAAAATGTACCATTTGTTATTATTGTGTGCTTTTATGGTGAACGTGCAGCAAAATATTAATTAATTATATATGATAAAATAATTAATATACCCCCCCCCAAAAAAAAAAAAAAAGTGAAATATCATATTGATACATAGCTATATGTGCTACACATTTTTGTTTGGGGTGGGCTAATGTGAAACATGACCTTTAAACTTTGGACACGCTGTCATACAGAACGCCGCCCAGGCATATGCAATCGATCAACGCGCTAAGTCATTTAGCAGATGCTCTTATCAGGGGGACGTACAGTTAGTGAGTGCATACAGTATTATTTTTATTTTTCATACTGGCACCCCGTGGGAATCAAACCCACAAACCTGGCAAACGCCATGCTCTACCAACTGAGCTACATCCCTGCCGGCCATTCCCTCCCCTACCCTGGACGACACTGGGCCAATTGTGCGCCGCCCCATGGGTCTCCCGGTCGCGGCCGGCTACGACAGAGCCTGGATTAAATACCACCCCCATACCTTTGCTTGACACCTCCTTATTATCATTTTGGAGTAAGAAATACAAGAATAAATAATATAAATGATTAAAATGAAAGTGGGATTAATTATTTCAATAATTATCTATTTATGTGTGCAATCATTCATCCATTTAACTATTTATGTATACATTTATTTATGTGTGGATTTATTAATGTATGTATCGATTTGTGTGCATTTATATAGTCATTTAATTATAATACGGCAGTTTTGGTCCTCCATAATCTAGGCGTACTGTACAATGTAACCAAATGGGTTAGCTAGCTACAATGTTTCAATAACTGCCAACCAACATAACCAATAGTAACCAAAATTAGTCATTACGTTTATGGAGAAGTAGGGAATTTGACCAATTATATTACAGTGTGGGCGGGACTATGGCTAGGGATATTCCTCTGCATCTTTTGTCATTCCTCCCAGTTCGATCGGCAACGGGAGCGGAGAGAGGAAAGTTGAGAGCCCGAAGGCAGCAGCCCCCACCACCGCCGGCCCAGGTTACCATCTAGCACCGGGAAACACACTAGAGAGCCACCGCCGGCAAAAGCCATAACCAACCAGAAACCATGAGCAGCGAGGCCGAGACACAACCGCCGGAGCCTGCTGTCGATGCGGAGAGCCCATCCAACCCGGCGGCAGCCGCCGTTTCCGCGGGGGATAAGAAGGTCATCGGTAAGCAAGCTAGCTAACGTTAGCCAGATGAACCATTAAATGCAAATGTGGATTTATTGGCACGCTAACGTTACTCCCAAAAAGCGTACTGACTCGCTTAGCTATAAGCTATTTCCGTTGACTAACTAATGTTAGCTAGTTCACATAACGTCCTCTGATTAAAACATAACTACCTAAATAGCTATGTCTAAATTATGCTAATATTGTTATTGGCTAGCTAGTTGTTAGTTAGCAACCATTAACTAGTGTAGTGTTCAGTTCCTTTATTTAGTTTGCTAGCAGGATGGCTGGTTTGAAATCGTTTAACGTTATCTATCGTTCCTATAGTCAACGTTAACTTCGACTAACAGTACGTTAGTTGGCCAATGTGCCAATTCAAAATGTCTGTTGGTCTACAAATGTTTTGCTACCTAACGACCGTAGCCAAATTCACATACTAGCTAAAGTTTAGTTAGCTACCTAACGGGTAACGCGTCAGTCAGTTTGACCACACACCTGATCTGTGAGACAAGTTCAGAGGTAACGTTAGTTGACTAACTAATTAATACTGTAATGAATGTGGGATGGCCTCAGTGGTTTGGCACATGTTGTAATTGTAACCAACGTTAGCTAGATTAGCCTTACCTCCTTGTCCGCATTCTCGTGCATTCAGCAGTGTTTTAGCCAGCAGTTAGCCTATCTACTAAACAGTTTGAAGAGGTTGATATTGGCCGCGATCATTGACCGGTTCCCGGATTCGTAACGCACTGGTTGCACATAAAGAACCGTTACCAATAAATTGGTCGTTTATACAACAGTTTTGCGTGTATTTCAGTTTCTAAAGTAATAATAGCCGTTTAGGAACTTGGAACAAACAATTCATTGATGGAGGCCTCTGTCTGACTACACTGCAGCCACGAATCACAATTGCAGTCGTATCCCTTTGTTCGCAGCCATGCACATACTAATTAACTTGCTTGATTGCGCTCGTGCTAGCCATCTAGCTAATACGTTGCTAACGTTAGATAACTATATAACTAAGTGTATGATGCAAAGTTATTATTTCGTGTTAAGTTGCAGATGGCTAAGCTAGTCAGCTGGCTAGCTTTCCATTCGGTCGACTTGATAGCTAGAGGGGCACTCAAAATGTCCGCCTTGATGTTCGGATTCTACGAATTTATTTCGTCTCGCTTTGGCTGACAATTGTACTTTTATCACGCATGAAACCGTACCCACCACTCGCATTCTAAATACTCACTCGGTATTCATTTGACGCGATGAATGACATCCTGGCTCATGTCCAACCACATGGTTGAGACCAAAGATAATCTGCTAACGTTAGCTTGCTATTTAGCTAGCTATCTTCATAGGGCGCGACAACACGTGCGAAGATTCAAGCACTTGCGCATTTGAACTGGGGAAATGGTTTTGCGTCTAGCTAGTTACCTAGTATTCATAAATTATGCCCAGGCAGTTCTGCGCGGTAAATAATTAGTAGCCCAGCTTACACATTACATTAGCTATGCTACCTCCAGGGCATGCACTCTCACTCTGATCAGTTTGGTTAAATGCTGGTAGGCCACACTGAATGTCTAGGCTAGTACTGATATGTTCTGTCCTCATAAGACCCTCGTCACGTAGGATGGGCACTTTTAGCCAGCCGCCTGCACGCCTGACTCGCACCAGTCTAGTCAATAACAAGACTCTCCCATAAATATTTCCTTCCCATTTTTTATTTTTATTCCCAAGGGAAATGTTTGGAAACAAGTAATAAAAAATAACATACATTTACAAACAAACAGCACATCCTCCATATAATTAATCTGTAATAGGACACTGTAAGAGCTATTTTTACTTGCACACAATATAGCTGGGTTGCCCCATCCTGTTCCTAGGGGTCCACCACCCTGCAGCCCCCCCACTCAGCTTTAGGATCTTAGTGAAACATTCATTACTGGTTTCGGGTGTGTTAGGCCAAAGCCAGAGTGACAAACTACAGGACGGCAGCCCCCCAGGGCCAAGACTGAGCAGCCCAGCAGCTAGGAATTGCCTAAATGGATATCTCCCCTGACGTGGGCATGTTTTCAATAGACTTCTTTTGTCGTACTGTATTCCATAGAAGGCATCCAGACTTTATGAAAGTTGCCCAATATAGCCTTAATCTTGTAATCAAATATAGTGATACATAACTTGACATTTCTTCCATCCTTTGTGTTATTGTGGAAGGATAACCAACCTTCCAATTAATGGCAATGCATTTCTTAGCCGCTAATAAATGCTTGGTTATAGTTTCTTGTGATAAGTCTCCGGTCTCAACATTTCCGAGCAAACAAAAACGGAGAAGGGAGAATCTGTAGACATGCTGAGATAAAAGAACATACTCTTTGCCAGAATTCAGCCAGCCTCCACAAGACCATAACATATGCAAATGTCCCCTTTTTGTTAATTTACCTCCACAAGAGGAATTACATTTCTGAGTGCGTGTTGTTTCGCTGGCATATAGTACTTTCTATGGATGGTTTTACACTGCAGTTATTTGTCTGAGATTATATGAACATGACTCGGCATTCAAACATATTTGTATCCATCCATTCATCATCAATAGCTTCTACCAGGTTTTCCCTCACATTTTTGTTTTACGTTTTTGTGTCATCGGGAAAAGCCTCTATCAACCCTTGATACAGTTTGGAAATCAACTTTTGAGGTTTGTCAGACTGCCTTAAAATAGTTTCAATATTTGAAGCATCTGGCTTGTCCAGTGCTTAATGCACAGAGATGAGTGTTCTTTCTGCAAAAACTCACCTCAGCTTTGTCAGACTGGTCTTCCCTGGATGCTTGACCCTGCAAAAATAATGACCTTGGTGTACATTTATACATTATATTAACCAAGAGTAGAATCAATGGTTCAATAATTGAAATGACCATATCCCAGATTCCAGACTGTAGCTTTAAGCTTAAGCTGCTGTCCTGTAGCTACTGTAGGTCTACCCATCAACTCAAGATGGGTATCATTCACTGATATTAATATACTGCAAGATTCACCTGAGCTCCGTAGACTGATCTTCCCTGGCTGTCTAACCCTGCTGGGACACCTGCCACCATGCGATCCTGCTAAGACTTGATGAGCATAATGTTGTGTACAGACTGCACGATGACAGTGAAGCCTGTAGAGCTGTTTATTACTGTGTCATTGTGAAATGTAGGGAATTAGTTAGGGAAACTGGCAGATGTTTCATGTTACAATGCTATACAGACGCTTGTAAAAATTCAGTGCACTGAAACAAACGACAGACCATCGACCTTCAATCGTTTGGCCGCTGATTTCGTTTGATTTCTCCAAACAGTACGATCTTTGTCCCCATGTGCAGTTGCAAACTGTAGTCTGGCTTTTTATGGCGGTTTTGGAGCAGTGGCTTCTTCCTTTCTGAACGGCCTTTCAGGTTATGTCGATATAGGATTCGTTTTACTGTGGATATAGATACTTTTGTACCTGTTTCCTCCAGCATCTTCACACGGTCATTTGCTGCTGTTCTGGAATTGCACTTTTCACACCAAAGTACGTTCATCTCTAGGAGACAGAACGCGTCTCCTTCCTGAGCGGTATGACGGCTGCGTGGTCCCATGGTGTTTATACTTGCGTACTATTGTTTGTACAGATTAATGTGGTACCTTCAGGTGTTTGGAAATTGCTCCCAAGGATGAACCAGACTTGTGGAGGTCTACAATTTTTCTGAGGTCTTGGCTGATTTCTTTTCATTTTCCCATGATGTCAAGCAAAGAGGCACTGAGTTTGAAGGTAGGCCTTGAAGTACATCCACAGGTACACCTCCAATTGACTCAAATGATGTCAATTAGCCTATCAGAAGCTTCCAAAGTCATGACATAATTTTCAGAAATGTTCCAAGCTGTTTAAAGGCACAGTCAACTTAGTGTATGTAAACTTCTGACCCACTGGAATTGTGATACAGTGAATTATAGGTGAAATAATCTGTCTGTAAATAATTGTTGGAAAAATTACTTGTCATGCGCAAATTAGATGTCCTAATCGACTTGCCAAAACTATAGTTTGTTAACAAGACATTTGTGGAGTGGTTGAAAAATGAGTTTTAATGACTCCAACCTAAGTGTATGTAAACTTCCGACTTCAACTGTACATCAACTGGCGAAAACTAGCCAAGTTCATTTACTTCTGTTGAAACGGGACAAAACAAAGGCTACAAAACATTTCCATACAAACAACTGTTGGATAGCGATATGCAGTGGCTATTATTAATATCTGACAGATAGCTAGAGCTGAACTGGCTGTGGTAGCTACTAAGCTAGTTAATTCATTCACCGCAGTCGAGATGAAACATGAGCTTTTTTATCACAGTGCAATGATAAAACTGGGAGGGACAAAATGCAATTTCAGAATGGGGGGTGGGTTATGACCATCCTGTCCACAGTGAAAGTCGTGCCACTGTAATGGTGCTTTGCATTGGACCATGCCATGGCAGGTGGCAGCAGATGCCAATGGTTTAGCATCTGAATCTATAAAAAGCCCAACAGTTGGGGGTTAAATATAGCTTGCTTTCCCAGTATCTTCTCTGGTCCTTGTCTGTAGTCTATCAGTCTTGCCATTAGATTGCCCTCTTGAAGTGCTCCTCACAATTTCCTGCCTTTGATGCGCAATATTTGAATGAGAAAGAAACTGCTAATGTGCATGTTCAATTTGTTTTAGGGCTATTGGAGTTGGTTCCACCGTATATCATTAATTTGAATGCAATTTTTTTTGTTGCGTTATTCACACCTAAATTGTGTATACATATTTTTTTTCTTCCAGCAACTAAGGTCTTGGGTACAGTCAAATGGTTCAACGTCAGAAATGGCTACGGTTTCATCAACAGGCAAGTTGCCCCCCTCTCCCAGGTGTCTCCTAAAGATACTAATATGACGGGGGTGTGTGTGAGGGAACATTCCCAATCCTATTACGGCTTGGATTTTCTTACAAAGCTGGGAAGTTGATTTGGCTGTTTACGGCATGCTCTTGTTATTGTGAAAAGACTCAATGAATGCACAACTAAGCCAGTTGATTCTGTTAAAATCTGTTAGCCTCAATGTTACAATCAACATTTTTAATCCAATGGGTTTTACTGGCTTATATTTAACTACACCTTTTTCTCCCTTCACCCACAAGGAATGACACAAAAGAAGATGTCTTTGTCCACCAGGTAACAATCTTCCCAAATTCTCCAATGGATCAAGTAATTTATTGCCTAACATTGAACTGTTTCCAGTAATCAGAATTCCATTGTAGTTGGCACCTCAAAGACAAAAGTTTGTAATGAAATGTTTTATACATTTTTTAGACGGCCATAAAGAAAAACAACCCAAGGAAATACCTTCGCAGTGTTGGAGATGGAGAAACTGTGGAGTTTGATGTGGTTGAAGGGGAGAAGGTAGTTACAACTTTTTTTTTACACAACAGAGAGCTTTATATTATTAGCTGTCATATCAATTGGCACCACTCTTGCAGGCTCACAAATTATTTAATACGACTTGTTTAATATGTTTAGGAATATTTGAAGGCAATCAAATTCTAGACTTTAAACTCTCGTACCTCCTCAAAGTTATGATAATCAGTGATTCTAATGTGCCCAATTTTGGATTTGACCAGTCAACACTATCATGCAACGATACACAGCTAAAACAACTTCATACTCCAGAAGGGTAGTGTGCACCCCAGTGGTCCGAGCAGTGTTGTATGTATCTCTTCCCAGGGAGCAGAGGCAGCCAATGTCACCGGCCCAGCGGGTGTCCCAGTCCAGGGGAGCAAGTATGCCGCTGACCGGAACCGCTACAGGCGGTACCCCCGCAGGAGGGGCCCAGCCCGTGACGGCGAATACCCAGACAACTACCAGAGCGACGGCGAGGGCGAAGGAGAGCGGCCCCCCCGCAAGAGCCGTGAGGGCACCGAGAGCGCCCCAGAGGGAGAAATGCAGCCCCAGCAGCACAGGCCCTCCTTCCCTGGGAGACGGCGCTACCCTCCATACTTTGTACGTAGACGCTACGGCCGTCGGCCCCCGTACACCAACGCACCTCGCGGAGAGATGACTGAGGTACGCTGTCACAGGCACTCCTGAAGCAGTCCGGCCCCGTTCCAGTGATGTCATACACACTCTCGTCGAACATGCGCGCCACACTTGGTTTTGGCCAGACAAAATAGGTCTATATATTGACTGTACTTAAAGTTGGCTCCAAACCACTGGTCAACAGACCAAAATCAAACCTCGGTTTGACCGAAATAGGTCTATCAATCAAACATTCACACAAACCCCAGATGTTATAAGGTGAATGCACCAATTTGTAAGTCGCTCTGGATAAGAGCGTCTGCTAAATGACGTAAATGTAAATGTTACACCTACTGCTGATCGCCATACGTGCAGGGCTTCAATCTATATATAGCAATGTTTTCCACAAGCACATGGAGTAGCCAGAGTGGCTTGCCCCCCAGGGTTAAGCCATTTTTGCAGGTAAATGTTGAACTGGAATGCAAAAATGCGCTGAAAAGCTCTGGCCCGGCACATGTTTTTGCTGGTCCTGGGCCAGCGGGCAATCTTTAATGTCGGACCCCTGCACGCGAAATGAAATAAATGTGCCAGAAAACAATAGGCTAATTTGGATTTTGACTCATCGTTACCACATATGGGACGTGCAAATTCATGCTCTCCCCCTCCGTGTAAAGAAATTTGACTGCAACCACGGCGCACACAACATATACCCAGGTAATGAGAGGCGGGACGGACAGCAGACTGTCAAACTAGCATTGTTTCTCTGTCATCGTTGACTTTGTAACTGACAGGCATCTGTCCTATCAATAGATTACTAGAAGATGCATATCGTTCATTCAAACGGTAGGGCTTAGCAGACTTTTTTTTCTGACTAGCTAATTGAAAAGGAGCCTTGTTAATTTAAGTGGAAAAGTATCCGGTTGAAAATGAGTCAAGCTAGCACTAGTGGAAAACACTTGGGTTCGTATAATATACTGACAGCACCTGAAGTTGGCTGCAAACCATCAGACAAATACTGATTTGAAGAAATCAGTCACTGATTTCCTCAGTGAATCAGTGGCTGGTGATTAGTGAAGGTGCTGGAAGCAAAATGCAAAACAGGAAAAAGTAGCTGCACATTTTAATAGTAGCTAAACATTCGGTCAGTCGACCTTCATCAGAGCATATTTTTTTCCTGTTTTTCAAGACTCGTTCTATCCAAAAGGTGAGTTTCAGACCCGGATCTAGGGTATTGAATCAGGACGTGGTGAGCACAGTGATGTATTGGTGTGACTAACTCTTGTTTGTTTTTAGGGTGGCGAAGGTGACGAGAACCAGGGAGGTCCAGACCAGGGCAACAAACCAATGAGGCAGAACAACTACAGAGGCTTCCGACCAAGGTTCAGACCAAGGTTTGCGTGTTGAGTTCATTGACACAAGGCTGCAACAAGGGGTTATATAACAGCAGAAAGCTTTGACAAATTCAAAGCCATATATAATTTGTCTGTCAACTAAAGGTTAGGTGAATTTGTCGCAAAGGTATGTGATTCGGAATGTATTTACTGCGACGTTACCATTGGGCAGTTTACTGACTGCGCGTTCCCCTTATTGCAGCCTAACATTGAATGGCAACTGCTTCCGAAAGTTTATTTTACCTTGCATTTAAATGTTCTCTATGGGTACTCCTTCAGAAATGACAACGACTTCATGTCTCTTTAGTCCTGATTTTGTTTTTATTAGTAGAAGTATTCTGAAATGTATGAACATGGCGAATTGGCCAAACTATCTATGGACTATGATCTTGAATAATTCCTGAACCAAACAATATGTAAACATCAATGCCGTTGAAGTGATGAGTTTCTAATGTCTCTTCTCTGACAATAATAATGGAGAGAGCATAAACACCTCTGATCTCAGCATATACATAGTTAACGTCTACTGTCATTCCCCCTCAACCACCCTGTATATGGCCCATTACTTTCTCAGGTTATTCCTGTTCCCATTTTGGATGTGTTATGGCCTGTCAAACCTGTGGTCATTGTTATGGCACTGCCTTTACTCTCTTCCAGTAAGCACCATGGTATTTCAATTGGTACTTGGTGTACAGGTTCATACCCATGACAGGAGTGAGCTCCACCACTTGTTTTATAAACTCAAACACATGGTGGCACTGCTACGCCATGGTAAATTCTTAGCTTGTTTGAGTATATGGCAGACTTGACAGAAGCCCATTCCTATAATATAAGGACAAGGCAGCACATTTCACATACTACACACAAATGGTTCACAAGATGCTTGGGCCAAGTCTCCTTGCAGCCATGTAATGCACAACCTCCCCTAAGCCAGGTGGATCAAATCCCCATAATTGCTTTTGGACACCTCCAATTCCATCAAATCGGCAAACCCCAGGGTTGGGGTCAATTCCATTTCAATTAAAGTAGTCATCTGAAATTCCAATTTTACTCAATGTTTTTGAGTTGGGATTTCAGTTTACTTCCTGAATTGAAATGGAATTTACTGTCATAATTTGAAGTTGTATGGGTGCTAGGGACTGTTTTAAGATTAGGCAGGTGTTAAAGTGTGTGTCCCGTCCTACAGCAGAGGTGGTGGTCCACCCCGTCCCAGACCGGTACGGGACGGCGAGGGGGAAAACAAGGAGAACCAGGGTGGTGACGGCGAGAACCAGGAGCCCCGCCAGCGGCGCTACCGCCGAAACTTCAACTACCGCCGCAGACGCCCACAGACCGGTGGCAAGCCCCAGGATGGCAAGGAGGCCAAGGCCGACGGCGAACCATCCCCTGAGAAAACGTCCGCTCCCGCAGCCGAGCAGGGCGGGGCTGAGTAGAAACTACCGGCATACCATCTCTAACATCGTCCGGGTGAGTCCCCAACAAACCCAAATATTGCTACTCGGCGCTCATCAGATCTGCATACCTGATTTCTGGGATATGGGTAAACAATTATTTGTTTCCTAGGCAGAAAACATGCTGGATTGAATTTCCATGCAGTCAAGCTTAGATTTTGTTCATAGTGGACTGTGCTGGATTATTCATGGTTCATGTAAAAAATAAATTTTAAATACAACTCTGAATTTGGAAGATTTTTGCCAAATGATAACTTATCCCAGAAACCTGGTTAAGTAGGGTTTGATTGAGTCCTCAGTATGCATTGTATGATCAGTTGATTAGCTGTAGTCATTCACAGCACTTCTCAATATATGATCAACATTTTCAACCACTGGCCGCATTAAATCTGCTTGCAGGACGCATCTGGCCCGCATGCCCCCAGTTTGAGACCCCCAATTTACAACATATCATAAAGTCCATCAGATGGCAGTAGGCCTTGGTGTAGTGTCTCTGGCCAGTTCACTCGAGTTTATAAAGCCAGCATCAGTCTGCACCTTCCATTGACGCTGCGCTCCATCACCCAAGGCAGGGGCAGAATGAGGTGATGCCATGGATTTGATCAAGCAAACTGGCTGCCTGACTGACTGCAGCCCTCCTGCCATTGTGTCTGTTGGTCCTCCTGTCTGTTGTGATGCTGCTGCACATTCTGAGTTTACTGATACATTTACTGGTTAAATCCCTTTACTGTATCTTCTCTAACAATCTCTCCCTCTTTTTTTCCCTCTACAGTTGTCATCAAGAAGAAACATCAAAGATCTGAGCAATAAGAAACAGATGACTTGACGATCGTCTTAAGCTTGTACCATGCGTTTGACCAGATTACCACCGATTTGCCTGCAGAATCTATGCAGACCTGTTTTGTTCCATTATTTTTGTGACAGCTAAAAAAAAAAACTTAAAAAAAAAAATTGGGAAACGGCAGATGTTTTTTTTCTAAATCGGTCCTAAGTTTTTACACCAAATGGTTTTTAAAAGAAAAGTAATTTGATATCTGGTCAGTTTGACATTTTTAAATAACTTTTTATGTATTCAAACATGAATTTTAACAAAATGCAAGCTCAAATAAAAAAAGGTCAACTGTCTACTCAACTGTTTTGCCTGACTAAATGGGACCACCATAACATGGCTGATGTATTACAATGTGTTGTTTTACCCCAACACCCCACCAATAAATAGTCTGCACCTTCCAGATGAATGGCAATAAACACATAACTACAGAATATACCATTCCTTCAGTGAAGGAGAGAGCCACTTATTGGTTGGTTATATAATTTAGCCAATATAAAGTTGTAGTTAAAATGTTTACAAGTTTGCATTTTTATGTATTTGGCACTCACATGATCCAATTGGCCCCATAACATAGGTATTACTGACATGGGTTGTCACATCACCATGCAACAGCATTGGTTTCAAATGAATATGTGCAATATAAATTCTAATAACATTAACAGAATAACTAGCTATGACAAGTACATAGCTGTACAATTAAATTCATACAGCACTACCATTTTCCACTAATCACCAGTAGACCAATGTTGCTTATTTCAAATGTACAGGGGAACAAACCAGTAACTTCCTCTGACCCTTAAGCAAGTGGTCTGTGACCGATATGGAGGCAGGTATCTTGGTTGGCTGGCAGAAAGTTGTTTAAACGTTGGTCTCCTTGCGAAGACGCTTCATACGCTGTACATTGTTCTCCATGGCGGCGCGGTTGGTGATCTCAGTGGCACAGTTGGCGGGGAACCAGCCTCTCTCTCCGTCCCTCATCCTCTCTCCATGGCACCAGTCTACGACAGGATATTTTGGTAACACTTGCGCCTTTGATGGCTCAACATGATGATCTAACATACGCAGTTGATAAATACTTATGGACAAGTCTTATGATTCATTATACCTGTATGTGTTACCGTTTTGACCAGGTCCGCTTGTTTCTATTGAGACTTTGTCCAGACTTACCGTCTTCTATCTGCAGGAGGATGACTACCTCTGCTTGCTGCAGGCCTAGCTCGTCTGGCTCCTTGGGCATGTAGGCTTTGGTGGCCTCATACTGCGGAAGGCCTGAAACCCACCACCACAAAGGCCCACTTATTAGTAATACGTTATTACCATGTCATTCAAATGGAATAGAGAAGAGTGTAGGAGAGCCGAATAGCAGATGCATGTATGCCCTCAGTGTTTCAATTAGAGCCAAAATGTGCAAGAAAACAAAAGCTTGCACTTGTCTTTTCCTACTAACTGACTTTCTTGAAGAAAAAATGTACTTACTACAACTGTGATGTGGTTGTCTCACCTAGCTATCTTAAGATGAATGCACTAACTTAAGGTCACTCCTGATAAGAGCGTCTGCTAAACGACTAATAGGTATGTCAAATGTTTAAACATCCAATGATGGGATTTATAAATAAAGTATCTGGGTTCCCAAAAGGACTAATCTCAACTTTTGGAAAGATCATTCTGAGCTAGCCATTAAAAAAGTATGGTCTACAGATCTAAGAGAATCTGAACTAACAAACAGAATATGGAAAAATATGACCTTGGTATCCTGTAATCCGAACCATCCATTTATACATAAACATTTTGTTCACAGAATATGAAACATTCTACTATGAAATAAAATGTTTATCCGATCCAGGTGTGCTGCAGTTCAGAAAAGCTTGGGAACTGAGATATACTGCTTATATTATCTAAATAGCCAAAAGATGGACGATATCATGTTTCACTGCAATCAAGGTAGATTGCATCAAATAATCCTACCGTCTGTACTGGTCCTGTTCTCCATCTGCTTGTGCTCCCGGAGAGCACTCACCCAACGAGCTCGGTCAACCCTTGAAATTAAGACAAAGATCAGACACTCAAATATGAAAGAATGTGGCATTGCTAGTAGAAACTGATTGTATCAGTTAGTGGTGCATGGGGAAAGCGGGTGAGGTGACTTCACCCATACTTTTAAATGAACCGGCCCGACCTCTAACTCATACAATCCGTTTCCACTAGCATTGCTACATTCTCCAACGCTAGCCATGATATTCTGGATGTTGCTAAATAACCATTTAAACAACTTTTAGAACAGTTTGGGTGAAACAAATATGCTAAAACTATCCCTATAAAACATGCAGTATAATGCATTATGTTACAGTGGGGAGAACAAGTATTTGATACACTGCCGATTTTGCAGGTTTTCCTACTTACAAAGCATGTAGAGGTCTGTAATTTTTATCATAGGTATACTTCAACTGTGAGAGACGGAATCTAAAACAAAAATCCAGAAAATCACATTGTATGATTTTTAAGTAATTAATACATCAGAAAAGCAGAACTTAATATTTGGTACAGAAACCTTTGTTTGCAATTACAGAGATCATACGTTTCCTGTAGGTCTTAGGTCTTGACCAGGTTTGCACACACTGCAGATTTTGGCCAACTCCTCCATACAGACCTTCTCCAGATCCTTCAGGTTTCGGGGCTGTCGCTGGGCAATACGGACTTTCAGCTCCCTCCAAAGATTTTCTATTGGGTTCAGGTCTGGAGACTGGCTAGGTCACTCCAGGACCTTGAGATGTTTCTTACGGAGCCACTCCTTAGTTGCCCAGGCTGTGTGTTTCGGGTCGTTGTCATGCTGGAAGACCGAGCCACAACCCATCTTCAATGCTCTTACTGAGGGAAGGAGGTTGTTGGCCAAGATCTCGCGATACATGGCCCCATCCATCCTCCCCTCAGTACGTGCAGTCGTCCTGTCCCCTTTGCAGAAAAGCATCCCCAAAGAATAATGTTTCCACCTCCATGCTTCACGGTTGGGATGGTGTTCTTGGGGTTGTACTCATCCTTCTTCTTCCTCCAAACACAGCGAGTGGAGTTTAGACCAAAAAGCTATATTTTTGTCTCACCAGACCACATGACCTTCTCCCATTCCTCCTCTGGATCATCCAGATGGTCATTGGCAAACTTCAGACGGGCCTGGACATGCGCTGGCTTGAGCAGGGGGACCTTGCGTGCGCTGCAGGATTTTAATCCATGACGGCGTAGTGTGTTACTAATGGTTTTCTTTGAGACTGTGGTCCCAGCTCTCTTCAGGTCATTAACCAGGTCCTGCCGTGTAGTTCTGGGCTGATCCCTCACCTTCCTCATGATCATTGATGCCCCACGAGGTGAGATCTTGCATGGAGCCCCAGACCGAGGGTGATTGACCATCATCTTGAACTTCTTCCATTTACTAATAATTGCGCCAACAGTTGTTGCCTTCTCACCAAGCTGCTTGCCTATTGTCCTGTAGCTCAGCTGGTAGAGCACGGCGCTTGTAATGCCAAGGTAGTGGGTTCGATCCCCGGGACCACCCATACACAAAAAATGTATGCACGCATGACTGTAAGTCGCTTTGGATAAAAGCGTCTGCTAAATGGCATATTATTATTATTATTATTATTATTATTATAAGCCCATCCCAGCCTTGTGCAGGTCTACAATTTTATCCCTGATGTCCTTACACAGCTCTCTGGTCTTGGCCATTGTGGAGATGTTGGAGTCTGTTTGATTGAGTGTGTGGAGAGGTGTCTTTTATACAGGTAACGAGTTCAAACAGGTGCAGTTAATACAGGTAATGAGTGGAGAACAGGAGGGCTTCTTAAAGAAAAACTAACAGGTCTATGAGAGCCGGAATTCTTACTGGTTGGTAGGTGATCAAATACTTATGTCATGCAATAAAATGCAAATTAATTACTTAAAAATCATACAATGTGATTTTCTGGATTCTTGTTTTAGATTCCGTCTCTCACAGTTGAAGTTTACCTATGATAAAAATCACAGACCTCTACATGCTTTGTAAGTAGGAAAACCTGCAAAATCGGCAGTGTTTCAAATACTTGTTCTACCCACTGTACATGCATTGCAAGACTTGTCTTGAGCATGCATAACCCCCTTTATATCTCTTATGATACCCTTTTGAGACATACCATTATAAGCCTTATTATAAGACATTAAAAAGACTCATACATGCTTATAACAAGTTTAGGGCATGTATTGGACTCAAGTATGCGAGAGTTTGTGATACCTGGATTCTGCGACCAGAGCGATTTGCTCCAGTCTCCCCTCTCTGTTACTTGACATCAGCAGCCGTAGAGACAGGTGGGCGGAGCCTCCCTTGGCGGGTGGCGATGTCTGACCCTCAGTCTCCTCCGCCGATTTCACCTCCACATTCTCCAGAGTGGCATAGTCCATCACTACGTAGCTCTCTTCACTTGACACACACACATTTATTACTTTACATTGTGCATGTAGGCCTACATACTGTACAAATCCATATACGGAAGTCTGTTAACATATCCTGTACGTACAGTACCAGTCAAAAGTTTGGACACACCTACTCATTCAAGGGTTTCTTTATTTTGACTATTTTCTACATTGAGAATAACAGTGAAGACAAAGTATGAAATAACACATATGGAATCATGTAGTAACCAAAAAAGTGGTAAACAAATGAAAAAATATTTTATATTTGAAATTCTTCAAATAGCCACCCTTTGCCTTGACAGCTTTGCACACTCTTGGCACTCTCTCAACCAGCTTCACCTGGAATGCTTTTCCAACAGTCTTGAAGGAGTTCCCACATATGCTGAGCACTTGTTGGCTGCTTTTCCTTCACTCTGCCATCTGACTCATCCCAAACCATCTCAATTGGGTTGAGGTCGGGGGATTGTGGAGGCCAGGTCATCTAATGCAGCACTCCATCACTCTCATTCTTGGTAAAATAGCCCTTACACAGCCAAAAATAGCCCTTACACAATCAAAAATCTCAAATTTGGACTCCAGACCAAAGGACACATTTCCACCGGTCTAATGTCCATTGCTCGTGTTTCTTGGCCCAAGCAGGTCTCTTCATCTTATTGGTGTCCTTTAGTAGTGGTTTCCTTGCAGCAATTCCACCATGAAGGCCTGATTCACACAGTCCCCTCTGAACAGTTGATGTTGAGATGTGTCTGTTACTTGAACTCTGTGAAGAATTTCTTTGGGCTGCAATTTCTGAGGCTGGTAACTCTAATTAACTTATCCTCTTCCGTAGAGGTAACTCTGGGTCTTCCATTCATGTGGCGGTCCTCATGAGAACCAGTTTCATCATAGCGCTTGATGGTTTTTGCGACTGCACTTGAAGAAACGTTCAAAGTTCTTG